TGACTGCACGGGGCTCACCTGCATGACTGCACGGGGCTCCCCTGCATGACTGCACGGGGCTCACCTGCATGACTGCACGGGGCTCCCCTGCATGACTGCACGGGGTTCCCCTGCATGACTGCACGGGGCTCCCCTGCATGACGCATAGGGGCTCCCCTGCATGACTGCACGGGGCTCCCCTGCATGACTGCACGGGGCTCACCTGCATGACTGCATCAGGCCCGCGAGGCTCTGGAAGAAACCCACGTCCTTCTTCTCCTTGAGGTAGTCGAGCATTTTCTGCAGTAAACACAGAAGCCACTGCATTCAACCCTCATTTGTTATTAAGAAAAAAAGCAACAAACACGCTTTCTCTTCCGTAATAAAGATAAAATAATATTCAGTATATACAGGTATCCTTTGTCGCAACTGGTTGAAGTTACTAAAATTTCAGCCCAAATCATGTCCGACTTTTAAACAGAACATAGTTCAAACTGTGTTGGGAAGTGATTTTTCTCATTTCTCGGGAGACTCAAAAGAACTACAACTAAAATAATTCCTGTAATGTGACAAACAGGCTAACCAACTAGGTCTCGGTAAGAAGCAACTTTGCCGACTGGGTGGCGTAAACCGCAGCCCATGGTGACACCACATCCCCTGGCACGTCTCTAAAGCAACCTTCCTAATGCCATGACCCTTTAATACAGTTCCTCATGTTATGGTGACCCCCAACCATAAAATTATGTTCGTTGCTACTTCATAACTGTAATCGTGCTACTGTTATGAATCGTCATGTAAACATCTAATATGCAGGATGTATTTTCATTGTTACAAATTGAACATCATTAAAGCATAGTGATGAATCACAAAAACAATATGTAATTATATATGTGTTTTCCAATGGTCTTAGGCAACCCCTGTGAAAAGGTCGTTTGACCCCCAAAGGGGTCGCAACCCACAGGTTGAGAACCGCTGCTCTAAAGGGAGGTAGCGCCCATACATTGTTTTAACACATTATTAACATCGAGCTGTTCAGTGCACCAAGAAATCCCTCGGATGCTGGGACAAGATGACTAGAAAATGAAGACATATTTACGTAGAAAATGAAACATCGCACACTTGGTAGTGCTTTGAGGATGGCTAAAGGCATTCAACAGGGGGACTAGGTGGCCCATGGTCTCAAAGAGCATCATGGGAGTGGCTTAGAGACTCACCTGCTGCACTGTGGAGTTCCCACCGTTTAGGATAGCAATTCCAAGTTTCAAAGTAGCAGCCACCATCGGTCCAGTTTCACCTTAAAAATATAAAAACGGTGCTCCTTACATCATTTCACCTGTTGCATCTATGTATTCTACCCCAAAATGTGCACTTTTAAAATTATTACCACCCTATAGCTCTCTATCATGGTGACGAGGGCCGGACTGACTTATGTACCAAAAAATATTTTAAAGTGATAATGCATATTTTGCCATCAATGTTTTTTCAAAATTCTGTGTAATACAGACAAAACTGAAACCATATGAGGACAAAAAAAAGAATATAAAAAATAATTTATTTTGAAATACACAGACAACAGGGTGGTGAATGCCTGGGGAAAAGAGGGAAAATCTCTAATACTCTCAACAATAAAATTAAAAAAACACACAAAGACTCACTTTAAAGGTCTCCATTTATATCAAGGGTCTGCAGACTATGACCTGAGGGCCAACCAGCTCATCACATTTTTGTAAATAAAGTTTTATTGAAACACAGCCACGCCATTCGCTTACATAGTGTCACTGGGTGCTCTCCTGCTGCCAAAAACATTTCCCTGGCCTTTCGCAGGAGACGTTTCCCCACCCGAGTCACATGAGTAGCTCCTTAGAGTTGTGTCACAGCAGAATTTCCAAAACTTCTTGAGCAGAAATAAAACATCTTTAAATTTGACTCTGAAACAGAGTCACGATTAGACTGTATAAATGAGGGCTCACCTCGCATTTGTTCTCACTGACCTGGCTGTGACCCAGAGAAGCAGGCCTAAGTGAGTGGGTGAGTGGACCTGAGGGAGCTGGGGCAGGAAGGGGAGATGAAGGAAGAGGAGATGCAGGATGACATGCAGGAGGAGGAGATGTGGGAGGAGGAGATGCGGGAAGAGGCGATGTGGGAAGAGGAGATGCGGGCAGCAGGCCGAGGGCTCACCTTTGCTGGCGCTGATGGTCTGCAGCACCATCTCGGCGGCGCCGCGCTCATGCAGCCGGGCTTGCTGGTACAGAAGCTTCTGCTTCTCCATTTCCTTTTCCTGAACACAAACCCCAACCGGTTATGTTGTGGCGACCAGTCGGCAGGCAGCTTTCTAGTCACCACACTTCAGTCATCTCCATGTATGGGCTCTATGACAACATTATGGACCATTTCAACACCGACATTGTTATGAGACACAGGTTCACATAGTCAACTCTTGGTTTTATTTCAACTGGTTCATCAGGATAGAGTTGCTCAATTTTAATGATTTGATTAGTCCAAAGCCTGGCCCACCGTTTTGAAGTAGCTGTACTTCGTCACTGAAACTTGCACTTTCGGAATTATACATTTGTGCATAAGTTTTCCCGTTTTGAATAATCTCCGTGTCATGGCCATAACTTGATACTGCTCAGCAAAAGGCTCGAGTGCAAGATATCACTGAATGGCAGAGAAACGCTGAATGAGACGAGTTGGAGTTTAAGCAAAATTGAAAGCTGATATGGATAAAGAGTAGGCTTTGCCTACGTAGGGACTATGAAACCTCTCCCCAGTGCCCCCCCGGGCCCCCCAGGGAATAAAGCCATGTGCCTTTATATTTTGTATTCTCTGGCGGCAACAAACGATGCTGCATGGTGTTGCTGGGGCAATGGCTGGAGTTGGCTCGGTTCCACTCAAACTACCACTGAGAACATAAAGAAGAAAATAAGGAGAAAATATAAAGGCACAGCGAAGTCAAGACTGAAGGATCATTCACTGGAGCGGCCCAGTCGCTGGAGAACTGAGACGGCTAAGCAGTACAAGTTGCAGAGTGGACGTTGCATAGAGCCCTGTGACAGCGAGCCCATTGATGGCGCGGGAGGGAAGCTTAGTCAACGGGACATGACACGCTCGACCAGCATCATGTCCATAAACACAACGGCCAAAACAGAGGTGACCTCAGAGCAGGAGCTGCAGCAGAGGGTCCACTTTGCTGCCATAAACTTTCCATCCAAAGTACGGAATAGACACTGGGAGATGGAAGAGGTTTAAAAAATGAAGGCTTGCTGGTTACAGAATATGAAAAATAAAGGAAACTAAAAGGAGGGGGGGGAGAAATGGGCTCAAACAAATGATAAAAGAAACCTTTAAACCAAAAGCAACCAACACAGACATCAAGCTGTTACCAGAGAGTGCTCGCCGATGCTGGCAAAATTGGCTCTTAAATCTTTGATAATATCGTGCTGCGAAAACAAAATCGATCAGGGTGTTTTTTTTTTTTTTCACACTATCGTTAGAGCTCCTGCGGTTAAATGTTTAGTTTTTTCTTAAATTATGTGATAGGCCTAAATGGAAGCGGAGAAAAAAAAAACAGGCAGCTTTGCTTTGTCGTAGCCATGCTGACATCTAAAAGGTTTGCCTTCATGTTTAAACCTCTTCCTCTGAAGTCAGAAACAGAACAGAAACATAGCCACACAGACACACAAACCATATCGTCACACAACACAGCTTGAGGAGCACTGAGAGAAGACCCCGTCTGCTCTCCGGGTGGCGCTGGAACGAGGAAGCAACAACTGATTCTTCCTTTTAGACCCAACGATCTTTCCCGCCCTCCCGTGGCCAGAGCGATTCCTGGGACTTTGCTCCCCAGGGTTACTGACTCCTCTTGTGGGTGTTTCGATAAGACAGTGGTAAGAAATTAGTGGCGTGGGGACGGCCCCAGCATTTTCATCAACGACAGGGGAAGGGAGTTAGAAAGATCAATTCTTTACGGACCCATAGAGCATAGTAGAAAGCTAGTCATCAGGACACCCCAAGAAAATGACAGCACACCATATATTCTTGAGGGGAAAAACAACAACCTGTCCCCAAAGTACGTAGGGCAGCTCAAAGTTCTGCCAGAACAATTTGTACGGTACGCACTAAGGTCCCAGAATCCTTTGCAGTAACTAAAGTCACGTGGATGGATGAGTGTCAGGAGGATGAAGAAATAGACAGGATGTCAAGTTGTCTTCTTTAAAAAATAACCCCCTGGGCAAAGGTGACTCTCACCTTTCTTCCATAGCTTCTAAATTTCTATAATAGTAACGACTTCAGGAGTGAGGGGGACACTCAGATCTGAAGTTGCATGTTGAACTAAAAGAGAGAAAGTGATCTGGAGGCAGGAAGGGCCGAACATCACATGGAGGGTCAGGGCCCTGAGTTCCTGCCAGTGGGTGGGTTGGGCTCTCTTCTCACGAGACTTTCATTCAATACCTTTCAGGTCTCTGACAAGGCTTCTCAGGTGTCATTTAATCTTGTCATCAGAATTCGATCCCAACATAAAAAAATAAAACCTTCACCGCTAGGCCAGAAGTTTTCAGACAATAAAATGATGGATTAGGTAGGGGGAAAAATACTTTCTTTTCAAATTTACTGCAGACCTGTTTGTTTGTTTGTTTTTTAAAAAATGTTTTATTGATTTTTAGATAGAGAGGGAGAGAGAGATAGAAACATCGATGAGAGGGAAACATTGATCGCCTGCCTTCTGCATGCCCACACTGGGGATAGAGCCCACAACCTGGGCATGTGCCCTGACCAGGACATGAACAGTGACCTCTAGGTTC